TGTACAGGTTGGCAACAATAGGAGAAACTGGAGACCCCATAGCACACTCATGTTTCTGCCTATAATATTGCTCCCCATATGTGAAGTAGGTTGACTGCAGGCACAGTTTCAAGAGTTGACACAGTTCTGTGGAAAGCGTGGTCCTGATGCTCAGAGTGGTGTCTGATTTTAATCTTAAACTGACCACCTCTACTGCATCATCAACAGGAATGCACGTAAAGAGTGATGTGACATCAAAAGAGACCATTGTTTCATCAGTCTCCATGATGACATCCCTCACCTTATCCACAAAGTCCATGGTGTTCTGTATGTGGTGTTCTGAGCTGCCAACTAAAGGGATGAGTACAGACGCCAGATATTTGGAGACATTGTAAGTGACAGAGTTAATCATGCTAACAGTAGGTCTTAAAGGTACACCTTGTTTGTGGATTTTAGGTAAACCATACAGACTAGGTGTGGCCTCCGCTGGGTACAGTCTGTGGTACAGAATACGGTCAATAGCCTTGTCCTGCTCCAAATTTTTCAGGCAATCTATTAATTTCTTCTTGTAACCACTTCCTTGATCTCTTTTCAGAGGTTCATAAGTGTTTAAGTCACTGAGGAGTGTCATAACTTTCTCATGATAGTCTTTCTGGTTCAAAATCACTGTGCACCTTCCTTTGTCTGCTGGGAGAACGATGATGTTTTTGTCCTTGCTAAGAGTGGTGAGTGCATCCCTCTCCTCTCTACTGATGTTGGAAGGTGGTGGTTTGGCATTGCTGAGGCAGGATGAAACTTTGATTCTGAGCTGTTCTGCTTCACCCTTTTTAATTTTGTTGTTGCGGATGGCTGACTCTGCTTTGTTTTGTTTTTTGTTTTTTTGAATGTCCAGAGGACCAGATTAAACTTTTTTGGATACAGTATGAATTGCTAAGTTGGCACTAAATGTTCAGAAGTTATCGGACTACAAAAAAAATACAAAACTATTCAGAGAAACAGTAAGGTGAATGCTGAACTACTATTCACAATAAATAATGCAATGATCTTTAATAAGCTGAAACTTATTATGGAGAGGCTGATGGGGGGTTAAGAGTAAGGGTGCACCAATTGTTGTTTTCTGCCCGATACCTATTTTGTTTTATAAGCAACACTGTCAGGTGTTATAAGGTCACAATGCACCTTCAATTTTCAGTCTTATTTTATTGAAAAACATACTCTTGAACAATATCCTAGTGTCTTGCTTTTCTGAGTGAGGTAGGCACAGGACACGTGCCACGCCCTCACTGCAGCCTCTCCTCCAACGGGTCTCTAAACTAATCCTTTAGCTCAGGTATTACCCCCAGCCGTTTTCTAGGACAGCTTTAGTTTTAAGGCTGTGTTGAGATGATTCACCCATACTGTTAACTACCTCCGATCCTTGCACCACACCCAAAGTCTCACCTCGTGCCTCGCCCGACCTAGCAGCAGGAGTGGGGATGTTTAGCAGACGAGGAAGCGCAAGTTAACGGTAGCTCATCTCCTGATTTAGCGTTGCAATTGTTGATCGATCTGGAGTTGTTTAGAGTCTCGGCACAAGGCTCATGGATGTTGTTTTGTAATCAAAAGCTAATAAAACCGTTTAAAACCTCCCATGTTTCTGTTGTTTCATTGAACCAAGTTTTCTACTTCCAAGAACAAAAGGGGTGTTTGAAATAAGAATCCAGAATTTTACGTTTTGCTTTGCTTTAATCAATAATTTTTGCAGGGGAACAGCGGTATTGCACAATAATGATTACACTTGATTACAAAGAGATTACATGATGAATAATTTTCACTCCTTAGTCCCTTTTTTAGTTGTTGACCTTTCCTGGGCAAGGTAGATTCCCGTTCCTGTGGATGGGCTTGAGATGGGCTCTTGAACTCCTCTCTGCTCAGCCCAGGACTCCTTTTGGTCCGGCCGGCCACGCCCGGTCTCACTCAGGAACACAAGTACCCACACAGTTTACCTACTCTCTCTACCTGACCCAATACATTATTTCTCACCACAAAGAAGAAGACCCTTCTACAACTCTGAGCAACCATATTTTTAACATACAGTAATTGATTTTTCTGCCTGTCAATTCATACACCGCTGTTTTAATTTGAGATAAGGTTTTATTAAGGACTAATTTTGAGGAACGTCCCCTTACCATGTTTCTGACTTTAGTAAGAGGCAAATTTCCCCATCTCTCTCTCGGATGTGGGCCGTTCCTGGTCCTCGATCTGGTTGAAATTGAAGAAAAAGGATTTTAGGAATAATCCGGGCTGATGGGTTGAAGAATAGTTCCAAAAAAAGAAACTTATTCCAACGGATTTCACCCTAGTTCTCCTCCAGCAGAGACCGTCCAAAATTGCCCTATTAATCCACAATTCGTCTAGAGGTCCTCCGGGTCTTGTCCTGAGCTCCCTCGCTCATGAAGTGGATCCCCCAAACAGCAGAGTTTTCACTGAAACTTTTGTTTATATAGCCTGAGATTTTGACTGACATCTCCAGACCAGTCACCCCATCAGGCGAATCCATCCCTTTTGGGTTGGACCTTGGTCCGACTTTACAGGCTTCTTATGAGATTTTGCCAGTCACTCCTAATGCATATTAAAATCTGGGTGTATTTTGTTCAATAATGCTCAGTCATTCTGCGTTGTCCTATTCTGATTTGCTCAGAGCTGTGTTCTGGGGCTTTCCCATTGTGTAATACCTCTGCTTGCAACTTCTTTTCTAGAACATTCACGAAGCTACAGGTTCTTTTCTTTCAACAATCATCATGAACAAGCTTAAAAACAGACTACATTCTAAAATCATAATGTTTACATTTTAAAATCACAAGGTTTATAATATCACTTGATTATTTAATTGTCTATTGTTTTTTTTATAAACGCATATTTCTCATTCATCTGAAACTGGTAATTTTGATTAAAAAGAAAAACATTTTCAGCTTCTGCTGTTCTCTCCCTGCGTGTGTGTGCCTCTCAAGCGGGCCTGTGTGTGTGTGCGTCTTAGTGAGCCTGTGTAGTTGTGTGTCATACATTTGGCTTATGGGGTGTGAGTGTTCGTGTTGCTTTACACATGGTTTTGATTATTCAAGGCTTCGAGGCCTACAAGCAGAGCATGTAACAAACAGAATAACACAGGATGGATAACAGGATGGACATGTCTTGACATGCCCGTTCTGTTGGGGCAGGCTGAACTCCGCACATGACTTCCTTGACACTAGAAACAATACAAATGTGTTTTAACTGGCCATGAGGTAGTGCTTTGAAATATAAATAAAGTTTAGACAATTGTTGTTAAAACTTAAAAAACGGTAAAATCGTTTCTCAAGCAAGTATCGGCAGATTTCCCAAAATTAAGGAAATCGGGGCCGATTTATCGGTGCACCCCTAGTTAAGAGGTTATTGTTCAGAAGAAAAACTCTTTCATTGGGACTTCTGGGTGGCCACAATCTCACATTTTGACCCAGTACCACCAGCACCCCTTGTGTCTGTCTCAATCACATTCCATACAGTGTTGACTGTCCCATTGCTTCATCATTCAACATCTTCCCTTTTGTCTCTTCTTTAGGTGGTGGTAGCTACAGTGGCGTTTGGTATGGGCATTGATAAACCGGATGTGAGATTCGTTATCCATCACAGCATCAGCAAGTCCATTGAAAACTACTACCAAGAGAGCGGGCGTGCAGGTATCTCCTGCATCTTAAATGTCCAAGTGGAAAACACCAGTCAGAAGAGATCACACTTTTTTGAATAGCTGGGGCTCAGTTAGAGTGGTCATCTTCAAACAAGAGAGCTGGACGTTTGATTCCACCTGTATGCAGTCACATGTTGAAGTGTCCATGGGCAAGACACTAAACACCTCAATGCATCTGATGTGTGCCCCCACAGTGACTGAATGTGATCTAAAGCTCTGATCAGACTCTAGAATGATTTGTTCAGATTTAATGTAGTAGAGTGCTGTATGAATGTGAGTGTGGAGGTAAATGAGCGCACAGAGTCTGTTGTAAAGAGCTTTGAGCAGCCTGGTTGCCTAATAAGGTGTTCTGCAAGTACAGTGCATTTAACATTTACACACTTATGAGTAGATCCTGCATGGCTGAATAGATCATATCTGAGTAAATTACACATGACTACATACCATACCACTTGATTTATAGAGCACTTAAAAACAGCAGCAAGACCAACTAAAGTGCTGCACAACAGAAACAAAGGACACAGGATAAAATACATAGATCCACAGAGGTAAAGATAAGAAGATAAATGACTAAAATTATAAAATACACAGAAGTTAAAATCAACTCACACAGTGTCAAAAACCAGGAAATAAAAGTGAGTTTTCAAACTAGACTTAAAAACAGTGAGAGAGCGAGCCTGCCTAGAGTTGCATTCGGGCCCAAAAAATCTGATCCGACCCGACCTCAGCCCGCAGATATCATTTCCAAACCCCACCCGACTAGACGAATTAACAGTAATTATAGGTTGAACCCCCCCCAAAAAACTCGACATTTTTAATTAGTTGTTAACGGTCAGGGAATAAACGGGGCAGAAGATTCGGAGCTGAGAGGTGTTTGTCCTTTCATAGCCATAAAAAAAGCATTTAAACCCTGTTTTTGCTGCATTCTTCTGAATTACTGAGACACACGGACAGCTCTGACATGCGTGTCTGTTTTGGGATCTCACCTGTTTGGGTCGCCGGCTACGTGCGTCAGCCAAGTGCAGCGGCTGAATGAACGTCCATTTGGGCGATGAATCACTTCCTGGCAGTACAGTCCCATCTGAAGCTTAACTGAACTTTTTACCTCTTTCAAGGCCTGTCAGCTCATGGTGAAATGGCTGCATGCGACTGGTGGATGTATGGCAGGCCGTGTTATCATATAATTGGATTGCGGCTGATCCTGACCTAATTAAAAGCCTGAGACCGGCCCGGTTCACCCATTAATCACATTATAACGACCCGGCCAGCCCTAATCCGGGTCGGTCTGGGCCGGGTTTTGGGTTCGGGTTAGAAATGACAGCTCTAGGCCTGCCTGACATGCAATGGTAACTCATTCCACAGTCTTGGACCTGCAACAGAGAAGGTTCTGTCACTTCTGTGCTTAATACGAGTGCCTGGAACCAATAAAAGGATCTGGTCTGCTGCCTTCAGAGATTGCTGTGGGACATATGGCTGCAGCAGATCATGAGATAGGAGGGGACAGAACTGTTCAGAGCTTTGTAAACATAGAGAAGAATTTTAAAATGAATTTGAAAGTGAATCGGGAGCCAGTGCAGGGAGGCCAGAACTGGTGTAATGTGCTCTCTTTGCCTATACCAGTTAAAGACACAGCATTTTGGACAAACACATTGCAGTAATCGGGCCTGGATGTTATGGAAGCATGTATTATTGTCTCAGTGTTGGTTTTGGACAGTATGGGCTTCAGTTTAGATGGTCACTTCAACTGAAAAACAAAAAGGAAGGGTCCATTTTCACTCCCAGATTAGTGACAACCTGTTTCTCAAACGGGGCTAGAGAGGAAAGGTTGATAGAGTGGTATCACATGGATCACAGCTCTCTGAATGGATTACACTGTATGAGTAGATCACATCTGATTAAATTGATCATGACTGTCTGATTGGATCACACCTGTCTGATTGGATCGCACCTGTCTAAATGTTTTCATGTGTTTTCTCTGTTCTGTGTCTGCAGGTCGAGATGACCTTCCAGCAGACTGCATTGTCTATTTTGGCTTTGCAGACATCTTTAGGATCAGCACCATGGTGGTGATGGAGAACACTGGTCAGCAGAAGCTCAAACAGATGTTAGAATACTGCCAGAACATTGACAGGTAAGGTGCAGGCCACCTGATGGTGTGCAGTGCCCCACCTGAATCTCAGCTGGCTCTCTCGTGTGAAGGTGCAGGCGCTCTCTCATGGCTGTTCACTTCGATGAGGTTTGGGACGACGAGGGGTGTGAACAGATGTGCGATACATGCCGCCAAGCCAAAGGTTTGAATTCATACGAGCCTTCTTTAAAGATGTTCTGCTTTGTTACCTGAAAGTTGAAATTATAAAATTATTTTTGGATAACTTTAATGTCTTGATCAACACAACATTTTGTTTCACTTTGGGACAAAAAATGGTCTTAAATTTGTGTTTGACGTTTTACTGTCATCAACTGAAATACTACATACCATTATTGTCGGACTACAAAGCGCACCTGTGTATTAACTTCACATATGAAATATTTTAAAAAAATCATAATTTGGTACATAATTGAGACGCACTGTCTGTTAAGCCGTGGGTATCCATCGTACAGTGAATACCCAACTCAGTCTGTTCTTGTTGTAGTACAAGAATCAGCCACTTGATGGCGTTCACAGATTATGGCCCACCTGTTGTCTCTGCTCCATTTAATGTTCGGATGCAGTTTAAAATTACAGCAGATCTCTGTATTTAAACACACATGTACTGTACACAGAAAGATGCCACACAGAAATAATTTTAAAACTTTTATTAAAATATGTACAGACTTCTGCTCAGCTGAGCTCACATCTTGAACAACTGGATGAGGGGACAAGCTTTAACATGTCTAAAAAAGTTAAATCTGGTCCTCTGGACATTCAAAAAAAACAAAACAAAGCAAATCAACAAAAAAATTTAGAAACGTTTCGTCTCTCATCCGAGAGACTTCCTCAGTCTGAGGAGCTGTATTCAGCTCAGTCTCTTAAATAGCACCTTCTCAGGGTGGATCAACCAGTTTTGCTGCTGACAACCAAAACCAGCTGATCACATGCTCAAGAAGGACCATCAGCATAACAATGGATCATTAGCACACTGATGGCTGTTTACTGTTCACAGAGGGCTGAGTGATACTAGCAATCACAGCATTGTAAGAGGGGG